GCATGCCAATAAAGAGCAAGAGGGAAAACCGAAACAGGAAGGTAAGAGCTGAAGACTGAATTTACATATAAAAAGGAAGATTTTGAAGAGAAGATGCATTGTCTTTATTCTCTCTATAGATTGGCATCATAAAGATTATGGAGTCAGTATGCAATGTCAAAGTACAATAAAGCGTCTGATTCGGCATGGAAAATAAGTATATGGAATGTAGGCGTTGGTTAAAACGATAATTAAAGCCCTAATATGACATGCAATATTGAGGGAATGAAGGTCAAAAAAGCTTCATACAAAGTTTTGAGGCAAGGTAGCAATCGTATAAATCAGCAATGCTTAAAAATTTCAAATAGCAGACTGTATAAGTATATATAAATTAAAACTAAGTGAAAAGATAAACTGTAAAACAAAATAATAGAACAAAATATATTTTTCTGTCATAATTAATATATAGGTAACAGCAATAATTGTGCCACCAAATGGGCTTAAATTTGCAGACCAATATAAGATACCTGATCGTAAGGTAACAAAGTAATATAGCAATTAAGAACTCTTATTTACATGTGGCTCGAGGATTTTAGAGACTTTATTGTAAGTTAAGCTCTGAAAAGACTTGGTAACGAGATTGATTCCTTAAGTAAAAATTGCAAAATTAGTCCATGACCACATGCATGTCAATAAGGTGTAAGTAGTAATAAATGCCGTTGCTGCAATTGACTTCTTGTACTCAATGAACAACTAAGTGTAACGCTATAACTTATTATGTCTATTTATAAAAATCAAGTTGAAGAAAAGGGCCACATAATTTTGAAAGGTTGTCGAACTATAAATTCAAAAAAGCATAAAGAGAAAATACTAATGAAAAGGAAGAGCAGTCCATAGTGGTCTACAAGAGAAGACTCACATTGTTCTTTGGTTTTTCTAAGTTCCACGTCAAGACGTCTTTTCTCAGCATTGACTCGGTACAGGGCAATATGCACCTCGGATATGGACTCCGAATCTTCAAGCTCTATTCGCAATTTGGTGATTTCATCAAGCTCTGTTATCAAAGAGGCCCGCAGACGAATAATGTGTCGCAGCTGGTCAACAACTGGAGTTAATAAGAAAAATTGGAAAATTGTTTCGCCAATAAAAGTTGATAGGTTAAATTATTACCAAAAGAACCTTTTGAAGAAATAAAGAGTCGAATAGTTTAAATCAAATTCGATCGATAAAATTTTTTTTTATAAGACTAGAGGCAAAAAAATGAGCAAGACTTTTCCGATGTAAGCATATTTCGAAACTATCAGTAGTTCTTAAAGAATACTCACTTCCTCTTCGGGGTGGGTAAATTTCGCCGATCAAGCAGACGCTATCAGTGATAGAAGTTGCTCAAAGAAACCAATACAACTTTGGGGGCCTGGCGGTTACGGAGGTAGATAAATGGATAAGATCAACGTCCAGGCTGATGCGATTAACAAGACATCCTCCCTTACTTTCATATTAACTGAAAGTCTCCACAATAATTCAGTCAAGTGTAAAACAGTTGATTGTATGAGAGGAAAGGCTAGCTATAAGGGACTAACAGTTGTCCGAGAAGATAATAATTAATACGGGGATAGCAAAGACCATGACTTCCCTTAAGAACGACTAAATTAATGTGAATATTTTGAGGTTCGAACGAGATGTGTAGATGCCGAATTGATACATAATTTTCTAAGGCAGAACTTTATGGCTAATCAGTTTAAAAATGTGAAAAATTACAAATTCCGATGATTTTCAAGATACGTAAACGAATAAAGCCTATTACCAATGTCATTTGAGAGTATTTTTACGATAAATAAAAGAGAAAGATTCAAAATAATCTTAATTTGGCAAAGGACCGCAGAACATATGGGTAAGCGAGACAGACTATCTTATTACGATACGGAAGAAATATCTACACATTTATCCCGTATTTTACGATTGAAACAATGGAATTATACATTTTTTTATCTTAAAAAAGAAAAATATTATATCGAATGGACCAATTTACAAGTGGAACAACAAATATTGACGTTAGCATGGGTTTAGATATACTTCCGAATGAATTAATATAGTAAAATGGACGCAACAATCAAACTAATGATAATCAATTTATGGATTATTTGATTACATAAATCCGGATGGTGCAAAGCATAGAAGAGACCAGTGTAAATATGTAGTCATAATTAGTTCTCGTGTGGAAGTCCTAAATTCTAATGCATAAAATAGCAAAACAAAGGTCAATATAGAGTAAAGGCTTTAGAAATACACATCCTGACCAGGACATTCATTAATGCACAGCATGCATTTAAGAATACGTCTAAATGCCACTCAATAGAAAAGTATAGTAATATTCACAATTAGATGAAATACGTAGGATCTAAGACTGTATCACGAATAATAATGAAGAATTAATATATTATTCCAATTGGATCAGTAAAATGAACTTTATCAACGTCCCAAGCTCGTTTATGTCAAATATAGGAAATAAGAATGATTCTGACAGATAGATCAAGCACTTTGGAGAGTTAATGAAATAAAAAGCGTAGTCATATATCGTCGTTGGTGCTGAGAACAATAAGCAGAATAGGGCAAAAAATAATAGATGTAAAACGCGAATCTAAATTTTTTTAAAGTCTAATCCATTCACTGGCTTTAAAACCAAGATATAATTACTTCTAGCATAAAAATTTAATTCATTTTCCATCCATTAACTAAGCTTATTAATAGAATCTCATAATACATGAAAAGAGGAATCAGTATTAATTTAAAATGATAATTATTTAAACATAATAGTTGGCCCAAGTGACTCGATTGCGCTTTTGCCATCAATATGTAAGTTAGGAAAGGAGGTCAGAAAGGTCATATAGGTTAAATTTTTAGTAAGCCTTTAAACACTATTTTTAAATACTGAGCGAACAAGTCTCGCAATTGACTATTTATCTTGTAAATAGTACGTTAACAACAGTTATCATATGCAACATAACTTATATAACTACCTGTCTGAGTATCAATATTCTGAGCTTTGATATAATCGAGAGATACATCTGGATCCTGGAGAGCATTCAGATCAATATGTAGGTCATTCTGGATTCGTTCATAACAGTCTTGGCATCTAATTTCCCATGTCTTGATAAGATCCTGGAAGCCTGTATCTTTCCCAGAAGCTATTTCATTGTAAATAGCTTCCATGATAAGCCAAAAGGTATAATAAAGGATATGTACATTAAGCCTAAGGCAGGTGAATCACATGCAACCCAAGGATACAATTGTTGGACAACGCGGCCGCGGGGGGGCAATAATTAAAAGAACATAAAGTTATAAACAATACTTTAAAATTAAATAGGTTAACTAGCAACTGATATATACACAGAAAGGTTTACAGTTTAAAAGACTAAATAGCGTTCAGTGTTTTTTGCTTGTTTGAGGAGTTTGGGGTCCATACAATCTAGATTTAAATAGAAATTAGTCCGCTTTTAGGACTTTGGTATTTATTTTTGCCATATAATATGTGGTTCTTTCCAGAGTTAAGAATACTGGAAGGGTCTATGTGCTTAACCTGATTATAGTAATTAATTCAGCCCAATGAAACCTTATCTATGTATTTACTTTGCCTCCATTCATGATGGAAGTCTATGGTGCTCAATTCGTCTAAGTGGAATTTCGTTATTTCGTAAACATATTGTTCGAAAGTATTGCTCTTTCATAAGCCAAGATGTATTTTTATTTAACTATATTATTCTAGTGGAAACAGTTTCCAGTTAATTTCATAACTACCTTTCATAGCATGAAGGTCCTTATATGATTTCAGTCGACATTAACTAGATCACTAGTAAAAATACTCTGTTTCTAAAAACGGATGCTCTATGAATGGAAGAAAGCTCTTTACTGCTTGGTATAAAACGATTGATAATAGAATTGCCCATAGTCCAATCGATCGCTGCGACGGTGATTCAGATTTAAATTATTTACAACTTTACATTAAATTAGATATTTTAAGGGCAGCATGGTTACTTCTAACAAAACCTCAGTAGGATTTAAGAATGATGGCAAAACAAAAGTTGCTTATAGATGTGAATGTCATCCTTATCCTATATTTTTGTGTAAGTATCAAATTTCTTATTAGTTAAATCATATTTAAATGACTATCGCATTGGACTATCACTTCCAATTAATAATAAGAACGTTTAAGCTAAGGAATATATAAAAAATTTGAAAAAGATTTAAATATATTATTAACGT